CATATTACAAATCATAGCATGAACTGTTTTTCCTGTGTCTATACAGAAAGGACATTGCTAAATAAACCATGCAAGTGACATAAAGGAAAGAGAAAAAGCAATATAGGATTATTAATGCTTGATGTGAGCTGGGTTGGCTGTGTGCAAGGCAAATGCCCTACCCGCTGGGCTATTGCTCCGAGAGCAAGACAGTAGGGCGTTTGCCTTGCACACAGCCAACATGGCCGACCTGAGCTCGATTCCTCCGCCCCTCTCGGAGAGCCCGGCAAGCTACTGAGAGTATCTCACCCGCATGGCAGAGCCTGGCAAGCTCCCCGTGACGTATTCGCTATGCCAGACACAGTAACAACAAAGTCTCCAATGGAGACGTTACTGGGCCCACTCGAGTCAATCGATGAACAACGGGAGGACAGTGACAGTGACAGATGTGGGCTGGAGCGATAGCACACTGGGTAGGGCATTTGCTTTGACTCAGCCAACCCAAGTTGCATTCCTCCGCCCCTCTTGGAGAGCCCGGCAAGCTGCCGAGAGTATCTCGCCCGCATGGCAGAGCCTGGCAAGCTACCCGTGACGTACTCGATATGCCAAACACAGTAACAAGTCTCATGATGGAGACGTTACTGGGCCCACTCAAGCAAATCGATGAACGACAGGAGGACAGTGCTACAGTGCTTAATGGAGTTGGGTGTGCCTCGGGGGCACTGTTGTGGGAGTGGCTCAATCAACCTTGAGCTCCCTAAGGGGAATCAAGGACAACTCAGTGTTATCCAACATGGGTGGATGGGCAGATGGAAGGATGAGTGGGTGGTGGGTGGATGGATGAATTAATGATGGATGGGTGGATGGATGGATGGGAGTGTAGGTAGATGGACAGACGGATGGATGGGTTGATGGGCAGATGGAAGGATGAATGGATGGTGGGTGGATGAATTAATGATGGATGATAAGGGGTGGGTAAAGGGATGAAAGGGTGGGTGGGTGGATGGATGGGTGGGTGGGTAGATGGGACGATGAAAGGATGAGTGGACGGTGGGTGCATGGGCTGATGGTATCTCTGGCCATGCTTGTCAACATACTCAGCCACCAAACGTTGACTCTGCCCCTTGGGAGTCTGCCCAGACAATAATAGGGTTAAAAAAAACCCACATGAATCAAAACTGAAAAGCCAACTTGAAAAACATCCATTAGTTCATTTCGATGCTGATGTTCTAGTTACTCCAAAGGCTGATTGCTAAGGGGGACATGACTGCTGTCCAGTTCTACGAGTGCCCACCCCATGAAGCTGTCATCTCAAGACTGTTGAAGGGGGTGCCCCTGAGCTGCCCTGTTCCAAAGGGTCTGCCTCCATCTCGCTCAGCAGAGCCAGGAAAGAGAGGGGACACAGGCTGCCCCAGCTGGCTCATGGGTCACACATGGTTTTCTGTCCTGATCTACGACCAAGTCGTTCTCCAGTGGTGAGAATCTGCATTTTCACCTCCGCTTCTGAGCACTTCACTTCTCTGCTGAGCACCTCCAAGGGAGCCCCCCGGGCTTCTGGACGAAACCTCACCTGATTGGTATCAGCAAACGGGTTCCCTGCAGAAGTGGGTTCCCCAGGAGGGCTCCCTCTGGACAAAGCCCACCGTATTGGTGTTCCCAAGCTCTCTCCTCCTCCCTGGCGGGGACCCTTCCTCTGTTCACCTTCACTACTCAGTGGGACCCCACTGCTCAGAACCCCTTCCGCCACCCCTCCTGCCAGATCCCCCCACCCACACGCTCCCTAAATCCTGTGGGTTGTCTGGCGGGGGAGGGGGGACTCACCCTCTGCACCCCTGCATTCTCTCGCACTCACTGCCCGTTGGGCACCACATGGACTTTGGGTGTGCCCGGCTCGTTGGTGTGTTTCTGCCATTGAATTTCAAGAATGAGGGGGAAAAGGGCACAGGCACCATGCTTATTACTTCTGCCTCTCTGGAACTGGCCATAAATTAGCCTGATACATAACCCAGACAGTGAACCGTTGGTGAAGCAATACATTATCTTGCTAGGAAAGGAACAGAGACCTCAAACGAAATAACCAGAATCGTGGTTACTCTCTGTTTCTTCTAGAATAGCTGTATTTTATTTTTCTCGTTAAAAAAAAAGCCAACGGTACCTTTGTTTAAAGATAAGAATTATTTGCAGAAAATCTGGGATAAAAAAACAGATGTCAAAGTGCTGTCATTGTCCCATGCCTAGTCAAGCCTGGTTTTATTTTATTTTTTTTTTTTTGCTCTCTTTTCTGCTTGTTTAACTTTAAACAAGAAGAATCTTTTCCGTGTCATTAACTTGTCTTCAAAACCATGATATTAAAGGGCCCAAATAGTGCATTGATACATACAACTCGTTTCTTGCCTTTTGAAGTTTTTCCCCCTTGTCCTTGGAGAACCCGCCCTCCCCACACACCCTGGGGAAGCCAGCCTGTCTCTTTTTGAACTTAAAAAAAAAAGAAATAGTCTCATCTTTTTCGTTATTTTTAAATTCTTTGGAAAAATTATGTAGTTAATTTATTGTATTTGGGGTCCACAGCTTGGCAGGGCCCCGGGGGCCATACGGGGTCTAAGAATTGACCCCAGACCAGTCACGTGCGAGGCAGGCACTCTCCCTGCTGTGCTGTGGCTCCGGCCCCTTCCGTTTTGGGGTCTTTTTCCCAAAACCTTCTCAGCTGCGTGTGATGCTAAAGGGACACCCGGGCGTTTACACCCGGGCATCTTCTGCATCTTCTCTCCTTTCCGCTGTCGGCCGAGCATCTCCCTGGGCATCTGTTCTCTCGGGTACCAACAGCCTTTGCCTCTTCCTCACGCCACATGGAGGGGGCGGCCGCGGAAGTTCTCTGCCCGTCTCTGGGGGTGGAACCTGCTGTCCACCCTGCTTGCGACCAGCCTGTCTGCAGACGAGGCGACTGGCACGAGGGTGGCGAGGGCAGCGGGGATAGCTGGCCAGAGGGGCGTCCTGCTGGTCATGCCCCTGGCACTGCCCCCTCTCTCTCTTTCCGTTTCCTCTGTGGCCCAGCCCGGCTGCCTCGCTGTCCACTGTCCCTTACTGTCCTCTCTGGCGCCTCCTTCTCCCAAGCGTCACCAGCTCTGGTTCCCTCCTTCCTTGCCCTCCTTCCCTCCCCAGCCTTCTCGTCTGGCATCTTTCCTTGGGGTTGCTTTTGGACCAGGCCCTGTGGTGTTCGTGCCTTGCTCCCAGCTCTGCACTCGGGGGTCGCTCCTAGTGGAGCTGGGGGGACCAGGTGGCGCGCCAGGGATCGAACCCGAGTCAGCCGCATGCAGGACAAATGTTTGTCCCACTGTGCTCTGACTCTGGCCCTAGTGTCCTCTTTCTTGGGCAAGAAAAATGGTGGGTGGGAAGCTTCCGTGGCTTCGTGTGGTTGAGAGCAGAGTCCCGCTCCCGGCGTGGCCGTGGTTGGATCTCCGTGCGGCTGACTCGGCTGGGTTCTTGGCACCTTGAGGTCCTTCTGGGCTTTGCCAGATCCAGCCTTGCCTGTGGGTGGCCAGGGCGGCCCCACCCTCAACCCCTTGCATGGTACGACTGCTTTAGTTAGCTGTGAATTACTGGTGCGACCCCACATCTCTGAACACCACATGGAGGCCCATTCCCTGACACGCCCCCCTCAAAAAAAAATCCCTAGCACGGTCTGAACAGTTTGGGGGCTCCCCTTATTTGCCTCTTCACTCACACCCCATCTCACAGCCCCCACCCGCACCTGCCCTGACCTCACTGGTTTGTATTCAACCCTCCATGGATTCTGTCACAGGGCCTTTGCACATGCCAGCTTGACCCAAGATCACTCAGCTTAACCTGCATCCTAGGCCAAGTGGGTGGGTGTTCACACGGCATCTTCCCTTCCCTCCGGTAGCTCTCATCTTAGGTCAGTGATGGGCTGGCGAGTGCCTTCCCTCCGTCCTAGTCAGGAGCTTTCTGTGGGCAGAGATCGACTTTTTCTTTCTTAATGAACTCTCCAGCTGATAGTTGCTATTAGCCCAGGGGAGGTGGGCGGGTGGGAGTCGCTGGAATGGCATTTCTTCCACATGGTGCCTTGGGGCTTCTGGGGAGAGCAGGTTTTCCGAGGGAGGCTTCTGAGGAGAGAGCAGGAGGCTTCCATGTTCTTTTGCATGAACAGGGTTTGAGGGCGGGAGAGATGGTGCACGGCTCTCGGTGCCTGCCTTGCCCATGGCCCTTGCTGCTTTCAGCCTGTGACGCTTCTGTCCCACGAGCTCCACCAAGAGTGATCCCCGAGCACAGAGCCAGGAGTCAGCCCTGAGCACAGAGCCAGGAGTCAGCCCTGAGCACAGAGCCTGGAGCGAGCCCTGAGCACAGAGCCAGGAGTCAGCCCTGAGCACAGAACTGGGAGTGAGCCTTCAGCACAGAGCTGTGAGTCAGCCCTGAGCACAGAGCCAGGAGCGAGCCCTGAGCACAGAGCCAGGAGTCAGCCCTGAGCACAGAACTGGGAGTGAGCCTTCAGCACAGAGCTGCGAGTCAGCCCTGAGCACAGAGCCAGGAGCGAGCCCTGAGCACAGAGCTAGGAGTCAGCCCTGAGCACAGAGCCAGGAGCAATCCCTGAGCACAGAGCTAGGAGTCAGCCCTGAGCACAGAGCCAGGAGAGATCCCTGAGCACAGAGCAAAGAGTCAGCCCTGAGCACAGAGCCAGGAGCGAGCCCTGAGCACAGAGCCAGGAGTCAACTCTGAACACAGAGCCAGGAGTCAGCCCTGAGCACTGCTGGGTGGGGCCCCCAGAGCAAAAAGGAAGGAAGATGATGTGAACCAAGGGCTGTGGGGCGAGCAGGGCGGGTTGGGGGGTCCATCGAACGTGCTAGTTGTGTGGGTCAGGGCAGCCCCACCAGGACGGGGTCCTGAGAGCGTGGGCGGCCACTCCGCTCTGCCCTGCACTGAGGCCGCCTGAGGGGCCTCGGACCCTCGTCCGTCCGTGTGGCCACGTGCCGGGCCCCGCTCACCCGTGTGCGTCTCTGCCTCTCTAGGTTCATGGTGGACGTGACGTGGAACGGCAAAGACCTGTCCTTCACCGAGGACGGCTACCAGGTGCACCCCCGACTGGTGGTCATCGTGCTGAACAAGGACCGGGAGTGGGAGAAGGTGAGCGGGGCGCAGGGCGGGGGTGGAGAGCCGGTCGACTCAGGGGCCCCCAGGACCCCCAGGACCCCCAGCTGTTCTTGGTGCGCCGCCCACCCCCCACCTCCGGGGACCTTCTCCCAGAACGCATCTTGCGCCTTCAGGGATGCTTGTGGCTCGGCCGGTGGCCACCACGGGCACATGGTGGGGCGGGTGCTGGGTCCCAGCAGGGAGGGGACCCTGGAGGGTCTGGGTCCCGGAAAGGCTTTGAGCTTTGGTCCTGGGCTTGCGGCCACGGAGGCCTATCAGAGCCCGGGACGTGCGTCCCTGACCACTGCGTCACTGCCTCTAGCCCAGCCCCGGGGACACGCAACCACCAGCCAGGCACCCCCAGCGCCGGCAACCAGCTTCGTCTTCTGCCTCTGTGTACCTCCATCCCCCACTCAGGTCTTTCTCCTCTGCAGATCGGGTGGGGAGGGGGCTGTGCCAAGCAGGAAATGCTGCAGAACCTATCCTCTCATGCGCCCCCCTCACCCTGAGCCATGGCGTGGGGGTGGGGGGTGGGGGAACCTCATGGGGACTCAGAGCCCCGCCCCCGCCCCCCTGCCCATGGCACAGCATCCTGCATCCCTCTCAGCTCTGCCCCTCCTCCCCACCAGAGTTTTTCCCAGGGGCCAAGTGGGGAGGACACTTGCCTGGCGTGTGGCCGGGCTGGGTTTGAGTCCCCCTCTCCCCGATGGACTCCAGAGCCCCGCCAGGAGTGAGCTCTGAGCCCACAGACTGTAGCCCAAGAAAAAATATTTTTTCCCTGATTTATTTTTTATTATTGTTATTTTGCTTTGGGGGGTCACACCCAGCAATGCACAGAGGTTATTTCCTGGCTCATGCACTCAGGAATTACTCATGGTGGTGCTGGGGCGGCCAAGACCCAGAGACTATAAAACCCAGATCCCGGAAACGCGCGGCCGCATTTGTGGCCGCGTGACATCTTATTATCTCATTCTTACTTTGGACAAACTGGCCGGCTACCGAATGTGACCTGCCCACACGGCAGAGTCTGGCAAACTCCCCATGGCGTACCCAATATGCCAAATACCAGTAACAATGAAGGGTCTCATTCTCCTAACCCTGAAAGAGCCTTGAATATGGCACTTTTAAAATATCTCGGGGCTAGGCTGAAGGAGACGTTACTGGGGCCTGCTCGAGGCCTGCTCGAGGTGCTAGGGGGTCCATAAGGGATGCTGGGGATTGAACCCAGGTCAGACACGGGCAAGGCATACGCCCTCCTTGCTGTGCTATTGTCCCGCCCCCCTCCCATTTATTCTTTATTTTATACCAGTTACTACATTCTTCCCCTCCACCTCCTCCTTTTTTTTTTTAAAAAAAGAAGCCACTTATATTCTGTATACTTACATTTTGACCTTTGTAAAAACATAATGATAATCAATGCTCTTGCTTGAAATTCAATATTTTTTTATTGTTGCAGTTAAACTGCAGCATGTGGTTTACAATAGTGTTAAAGTTTATGCTTTTGATGAAAAGCTACTGCACGTCACCACCACCAGGGCCCACGACCTTTCACCAAGGTCCTTATGTCTCCTCTCATCCACCTGTGTAGGCCCTTGTGGGACCCCCGCCCCTGCCCCCTTTGGTGGAAGAGTTCTGTAATCCAGAACAAAGATTTAAAAGGCAGGAAAATCGGGGGTATGGTGCCACCAGCAGGTCATTCTGTACCTGTGAGGCGAGTGCATCAGCAGCCTCATGGCACCGTCAGACTTCCAGATACCCCCAAATTGCTGCTGTGCCTTTGGCCAGACCCCAAAAACTTGGGGCCAAGTTTACCAAGAAAGTAAACGGCCAAAAGTTAGGTATGTGGGAGACACACCCACAAACCACCTCCGGCTCAGCTATATAATTGGAGGCAAGGCCTCTCTGGTTCCTGATTGAACTGCTTAATGGCCATGATCCCAGAGACTCAGAAACAAATCTCGGAACCCAGCGGCTTTAGGTAGAAATGTGTCCGGTCCCTGCAGTAGGTTACCGGTGCTGGGCCAACCCAGGTGGGAATAGGTTTCGTGCCTTGGCCTGTTCCCTCTGGCGGCCTGGTGGCCACTATCCTTCAGAGGCCACTGCACAGTCAGATTTGGGCCCGCAGTGACAAAACTTGTTGGGCCTCAAGGGAATGGGGGGGGGAGCCGGGCTTGTCCTCCCCACCCCAATGAGACCCCAAGTCATCGCCCACGAACGGCCTCTCTGGCTCCTGATCAAGCTGCTTAATGGCCACGATCCCAGAGACTCAGAAACAAATTTCAAAAACCAGTGGCTTTTGGCAGAAATCCCTCCAGATTTAAGTGTTAAAATTTCAGAATTTCAAAATCCCACAGCCACTACTGCAGCCACGCGACATCATATGTTATTCATAACCAGCAATAGAAAACAAATTGTCTACTGTTGCCTTTTCAGCAGATCTGAGTGTTGGGGTAAAATCCCAAATAATAATGGTGGGTCTGGTGTCGAAATATTGAATGTGATCAAAGTAGAGAGAGAGAGAGTAATGTGGAGATCATCTGCCCCACAGGCAGGGGGAGGGTGTGGGATGGGGGTATACTGGGGTTTTGGGGGGTGGAGAACGGGCACTGGTGAAGGTACGGGTGTTTCATTGTGTGACCGAGACTTAGACACAAAAGCTTTGTAACTGCTCTCACGGTGATTCAATAAATAAAATTATAAAAAATAAAAAAATAAAAAGCAGGAAAATATCCTGTATTACGTGGCTTCGCCACGCTTTGGAGCACACACCTTAAAAGAAATACCAGTCTACACAAATTTCCCCCAATGCCTCAGTAATAGTAAGCTAACAATGTATTTTAAAAGGATAATGCATCATCGATAAGGGAGTTTATCCTAGAAATGCCTGGTGAGTTAGCATTCACGAAGTAAGCCAGTATAATTTATCATGCAAACAGTAATGGAAAAGGTGGTCTCAGAGGAAGTCTTCATCAAGTCCAATATCTTTTCATATAAAAGAAGGGAGATTTCTCAGTCTGCCAACAGTTATCCGTGAAAACCCTGTAACTAATCTTATTTAAGTGAGAAAATGAAAGTGGACCCTTGCATGTAAATTGGTTCATATGACAAAGGAAAATCTTTGTAAGGAATGGTATTAGATGATGAGATATCCAGATAGAATGAACATAAATCATGAACCCTACCTCATAACATATTCAACAAATAGCTGTCATTAAATTACAAATTCGGGGGCTGAGGATAGGACTGAGTGGTAAAACGCATTCCTTGCATGCCAAAGACTTGGATTTGATCCCTGGTACCACCAAAAAAAAAAAAAAAGAAAAAGAAGAAGAAGAAGAAGAAGCAAGAATGAACAAATTGCTCTAAAGTTGCGAGTTTAATCATGAAAGCAAAAACTAGCAAGTTTCTAGAAGAGATCCTACAAGGATAGCTTTGCTGTTGAAAAATTGGAATGCAACTCTTTTAAAATTCTGACTGTGGGAGCTGGGGCGACAGCACAGCGGGGAGGGCGTTTGCCTTGCACGTGGCCAACCTGGGTTCGATTCCCAGCATCCCATATGGTTCCCTTGAGCAGCTCACCTCCAGCAGTAATTCCTGAGTGCAGAGCTAGGAGTGACCCCTGTGCATTTCCAGATGTGACCTCAAAAAAAAAAATTCTAATTTTACTCAGAAGTACAGTAAAAATAATCAACTGTTACTCCATCAAAATTTAAAACTGACCATGTACAGACACTGGTAGGAAACGAAGCGAAGTCAGGCCACAAATGGGGTGAGTATCAGATATCAGCCGTCTACAAGACACACACAAGGCTCTCATTCAGAATCTATAAAAGCACTACAGCAAATCAATAAGAAAGAGAGAACACAAATGGGGAAAATTGCCTCACACGCTTCACAGAGATATGACTCGATTTTCTATCAAGTAAATGAACATCTGTTTCCTATCATTGGCCACTGGGGACACATGAATGAAAATCTTAGCGAGGGAACCACAGACACCCCCAGAAAGACTAAAATTCAAGAGGCTGGTGATCCCAGTGCTGGTGGGAACATTTGTGCTCCTTGTGTCTTGCTGGCAGTGATGTGAACTGACCGTCAGCGTGGAGAACTGGTTGACACTTTTGCATAAAATTCAGCACGGACAAATCTTTTGATCCAGCAGTTTCACTTTATTTTGCCCCATTTATGGCCTGACTCCACTTCATTTTCTACCAGTTTTAAATGTTGATGGAGTGGCCGCAGATTATTATTTTTTTTTCTGTACTTCCCAGTGATAACTGGCCATGTTATCCCCAGTTGTCAATAGCAAAAAAAAAAAAAAAAGCAATTGTGCTGGTTCCAATTCCAATTTTTCTCGGTTGCAAAGAAAAGTAAGCAGATACATTCATCCCCAACGTGATTATTTGTACAAGGATGTTCTTGGCGATTTTATTCGCAGCAGCCAAACATCCAAAAGCGTGCGAATGTCCTTCAAGAAGGAAGTAAATAAATGATGAGCTATTCATAAGCTGGAATACCACTTATTAATAAGGAATGAACTAGTAATACCGACGGAAGTGCAGTGAACTGCGACGATGTGACGGGTGGGGGAGGGGACGGGGTGGAGAGGGGGCAGAAAGCTCAGAGTGTAAGAGTCTCTGGATGCACGTAGAGCCCAGGCAGCCTTGTCCGTGGCCTTAGATCCCAGAACGCAGCTTGTCGTGAAGGAGGGAAGTAACTGGCCAGGGCGTCCAGGGAGCTTTTAAGAGCCGGCGCCTTGTCCTCAGTTAAAATGCCTCTGGCTGTCACTCCAAGTCTGTTTCATTTTACTGCGTGTAAGTTTCACTTAATCACTTAACTTCCCGTTAGTCGTCGATTTCCTCCAGCGGGCGCCAGTAACGTCTCTATTTGTCCCTGTCGCGTGCTAGTGTAGCCCAATGGCATCTGTTCGCTCTGGGAACATGGAGGGCCTCAAACCGATCGTTCATGACCTTGACAAAGAAGTCTGACCATCT